ACACTTGTTCTTTGCATTTCTTTCCCTAAATTTCAGGGTTTTATTCTTGTCCCTCTCTTTCTAGTCCGTTCTTTTGTTAGATTGGGTTTGGAGCACTCTGATTATCCATTTCATTCTTCTTAAAGGATCTGTAATTTCCCTATTTTCCCCCTTTTTTTTCCCCTTCTTTTTCTTTTTCTTTTTATCCGTTTTCTTTCGCACTTGAGTTTTCTGGGTCTCATCTCTCTGCACCTGAATAATCAATTCAATCCTCATTTTTTTTTTTATTTGGTTCACAATTCACATTTCTTTTTTCCGGTTTTCCATAGTCTCAGAGAAGAGATTTGAGTTTAAAGACATCAAAGTCTGAAGGTTCCTGAAGATGCAGAAAGGGTCTTTTAAAAGTTTTCCCTTTTGTTATAAATTTTGAATCCAACCCTTGTTTCACCAAATCTTGTTGCACCCATTTTGTTTTTAACAATTTTGCGGCCTCTCCTTACCTAATCCCAATCACCCAGGTCCTCAAAATGGACCATTTCACGGTTTCAGACTAATGGGTCATAATCTTATTTGACAAGGTCCTTCCTTTCCCAATTCAAAAGGCAACATAGTCTGAACAACTCAGCCAAGGCAAGCCAAACCCCCTTTGTGCCCATCTTTCTTGATCTGCTTCAAGAAAACATGTATGGAACCAAAAGCAAAATAGACCTTGCCTTTGAATACCAATCTCAAGTGGCAGTTTTGAGGCCCAGCATCCATTCCAGGAGGGCAAATCTGACTGTGAAATTCCAAGACCTTTATGGGTTCACAGTGGAAGGGAATGTGGATGATGTGAATGTGTTGAATGAGGTAAGGGAGAAGGTGAGGCAACAGGGAAGGGTCTGGTGGGCATTGGAGGCCAGCAAAGGGGCAAATTGGTATTTGCACACTACCATAGGGCAAGGCAGTGCCCTTACATCTTCCTTGAAATTCTCAGCACTTACCAATGCTATCACCTTGAAGAAGCTAATCAGGAAGGGGATACCTCCAGTTCTTAGGCCTAAGATTTGGTTTTCCTTGTCAGGGGCAGCCAAGAAAAAGTCCACCGTGCCTGACAGTTATTATGATGATTTGACCAAAGCAGTGGAGGGGAAGGTCACCCCTGCCACCCGCCAGATAGATCATGTGAGGAACTAACCCTTTTTTTATGATCATCTTTCATTAGGGTTTTGTTTTGAATTCGATTTGATTTCAAGTTTCTTAATTATGGTTGTTTTTGGGATTATCACTCTTCTGGCTTGTTTGGTTTCCTTTTATTTTACAAGTGCTTGCAGGGTGTGGATCATTTAAAAAGTATTTGATGGAGGAATTGTTTTGTATGGACTTTGCATTGTGTGTCTTGTGATAATATTTTCTGACAAAATCTTGCTGCAGATTTTTTTTTCCAATGAGCAAAATTTATTAGTTGTAAATGATATTGAGTGTTAAGAAAGATATCTAAGAGTTGAAGCATTTGTTAAGCCCTATGTTTGTAACCTATACAATTGTAGGATCGGTGAACCGTATTGGTGTATACAATTTGAATGATTTACATGTTTTTGAGTGGACGTATTTTAGTTAATGCAAAATGTAGCTTTGAGTAAATGCTGATCAGAAAGTGATAAGAATTTGTGGTCCTTGGTACAGTTTAAGATTGGGGATCATGTTTGTGTAGGCTTTGATATGTTTTTTGGGATGTGGATGTTGTTTATCTGCTTATTCAACAATGTGTACTTTATGGGTTTGGAAAAACAACTGCCATCAAGGTGTTTGGTGCAATCCTTAAAATACTTATTGGTTATCGATTTTTGTTACAATGGTCATTACATTTATTCTGTTTCTAATTTCTATAAACATATTTGCAGGACCTTCCCCGAACCTTCCCTGGTCATCCGTGGCTGGACACTCCTGAGGGGCACGCTGCTCTCAGGCGAGTTCTTGTTGCTTATTCCTTCCGTGATTCTGATGTTGGGTATTGTCAGGTGGGTTTGCTCTGTTCTTTCTTTTGAAGTTATTTCCCCTTTTCACTTATACATGAAATACATTGTTCTGACTTGTTTTAAATTGAAATTTGATGCTACCTATGTCTCATAAGAAAATATCTTTTATGCAGCTTCCTCTTTCATTCAATCAATGCTGCTTCTATTCTTTTTCTTCTGCAATTAGATTTTTTATCTCATAAATTAGTAACATGCAGCTTGAGTATTATCTTATTTCCTCTCAACTCCAACTCGTCTAACTAACTAACTAACTACATTGTGCAACTAAAGCGTGGATTAGTTTCCATGTTCTTCCTACATTTCTTTTTCTCAATTGCTTCAGCCACTTAAAATTTGAAGATAGGTAAAATTGAAGTTGACAATATTATGGGTCTCACCAAAAAAATTTAATAAGATTAAATGCATACTTGGGAACATTTTTTCTTAATTATTGACCATACAATATTATTGCTCCAGGGGTTAAATTACGTTGCAGCATTGTTGTTGCTTGTCATGAAGACAGAAGAAGATGCATTTTGGATGCTTGCTGTCTTGTTGGAAAATGTCTTGGTTAATGACTGTTACACAAACAACTTGTCAGGATGCCATGTGGAACAAAGAGTGTTTAAAGATTTACTTGCTAAAAAGTGTCCAAGGTATTTTATTTAATGTGTTAACTGTGTATATGTTTGTTAATTTGTTTCCTAGTATCTTCTGAAAATTGTAGAAATGGAAATGCAGGATTGCGAGTCATTTGGAATCTTTGGAATTTGATGTTTCCCTTGTTACGACTGAGTGGTTCCTTTGCCTCTTTTCAAAGAGCCTGCCTTCCGAGGTTAGAATAACGCTGCAATACATTAGATATTAAATCGTTAAATTGTTCCCTGTGTTGATACTTTTTCCATGAATCAGACAACTCTTCGCGTGTGGGATGTTATCTTCTATGAGGGTGCTAAAGTTATATTTAACGTAGCCTTGGCAATCTTTAAGGTACCACTAATGTAGCGTTTTTGTTCTTTCTTGGGTTTTGATCAAAACATACAAAGTATAGAAGACTATGCTACATTGGAAGGGATGTTTTAACATTTTCACCTCCAATTGCAGATGAAGGAAGATGAATTAATTCTAACCCATCATGTTGGCGAAGTAATCAATGTTCTGCAGATGACCACTCATCACCTATTTGATCCAGATGATCTATTGACAGTAAGACAACTTTCACTATTTCCTATCTTTGTCTATTATTTTCCTATCAGTCTGTTAGATATCTTTTTTTATTTGCACTATATAGTTACCATGTTATCATCCTTTCATGTTTTCTTCTAGGTATGTTTGTAGTTTTAGTTTGTCATCAAAAGAAGAAAGCATATAAACAAGATCCCCCTGAAGGTTGGATAGTGGGAATTAGTGTTGGAAATCTCACACTGGTTAATGATGTGAGCAAAATAGTATATACAAGTGGATAGAAACTCTTCTTATGAGTTTGTTTCTAGGATTGAGTTAGATCTAAATCTAAAATTCTGAGATATTATCAGAGCTTATCTAAGTAGTTTATTGGGCCACTTGTTATCAAATCACTTGCACTTTCTAGTCCTTCAAATCTCTCGCATGAAATGTCTAATCCTTGATATGAGAGAGTGTCTTGAAAATTTCACATTGACTAGTGATATAATCAAAATAATGTATACAAGTGGTTTTGCTTTCCCATTTATGGTTTAATGCATTTCTTCAACTGAGAACTTTCCTGTGTGTTTGCAGGTGGCATTTGATAAGATAGGTTCCATGACAACCAATACGATATCAAAGCAAAGGAAGAAACAGGAACCTGAAGTAATGAAGGAGCTTGATCAGAGGATCAGACGGCTAAATTCCCTTAAAGTGGATGATAAATAGCATTTACTTTTTTGTCTTTGGTTTTTTTGGTTGCTCTCTCTAATTTAATCTCAAATGTGGTCCTAGTACGCACGCTCTGCTGCTTCGAGCAGAATGCAGAATTTATGCATTCCCTTGAATTCTTCTCTCCCTCTGGGCATGACACAAGCCCTGTTCATTTTCAGGATGTTTGTAGGTCATAAGTGTAAATTTGGATATGGACACAACATAAACTATTAATTAATGTTATACTAGTAATGTGTATCAACATTAAATTTCACCACTCTGGTATTTCTCTGCTCTAGCAAATTTTAAGTTCTGACAAATTTAACATAGATAATCTAATTGTTTTAGTGTTTAGATAAGATTAAGAATGTCACGTGTCTGTATAATTTGGAAAGATCAACTTATGGATAATGGACTTAAAATATTGGTTGGTAAGAAGTCACCACTTAGGCGCTTTATTTAATCACTATTCTGGATCAAGGGATTAGTTTCACAGTTTCGTACGTTTATTGGAATATTTGGTTAAAGTTGGCATAAATTTGAATGCATTTTTCACACGTAGGAGTCATCTGGTAAGTGAAATGAAAATTTTTTGCCTTTATTCCATTAAACTTCACATTAAGATCTCTTCGCAAGCTCATAAAAATATCAAATCGTTTCTGCCTTGCCAACACTGAATAGGTAAATAATGACATATCATAACGACTTATTACGGTTTGTATGTTTGGATTTGGTGAATTAACGAAATGAAAGAAAGGTAATAAATGCGATCACGTTGTGTATGGTTGAGAGAACGGGTTTCAATGGAAATTGAGGTGGGAGTAACTGGAGATGGAAGAAAAATTAAAATTTTGTGATGGGTTGGATGGAAAAACTAATGACATTGTTGTTCAATACTTCACGAGTCACGACTTATGGGATTTCTTTATTTTCTGTTCTGGATAATCAAATTACCTAGTTCGAATATGCTATGATTTTTTTAAGTTCTTGTCTTAATTATCCTAACGAGTTATATTGGGATAAGGCATTTTAAATGCTTTTAAAATTTACTTTCCTCCCTTTAAGATTTACCTAATAATATATTCTCAACAACTTTTATTTTTCTACGATCAAGGTTATCTATTTTATAAGAGGTGTTATGCATTTTTATTCAAATAATTTGTATTAATGTTAAAATAATATTTGATCAGCAAAAGTTATGTTCATGAGCACAATTTAATTATTGACGGTTAAGCATTGTATGAATTATGTTCATTGGCCAAAAAATAATTAATAATAACTTCATCTATGATAAGGTTAATTCTCCAAAAAAAGAAAAAGTTGTAAAAATAAAAAAAAATAATGTCAAAGTGGACTGAATTACTACGTTTCGTCTAATGACAAGGACATTCAGTTCTGAATGATGTTTGACAATGTTAATTTGTTGAGTGTTTGTTTATGGGGTCTACTAATACTACTTTACACGTATATTGTTACCGGTTCTTGAAATGTCAATATGTATGGTGATGTGTTTGGTTCAACAATGAACATAGGTTCACTACTTCAAAAGGGTAGACTATGTGTTCTCATAATAATATTAAATAATATCTTAATATCTTATTGCTTTAGAAGATTTTATTCACAATTCTTTTTATTAATGACAAACAGGTTCAGAGGAAAGACGTCCTATTTGAGGGAAAGTACATGTTACAAGAACTAAAAGCACATAATTTTATATTTTTTAAAGACTTCAGATCACGTATTTAAATATTATAAAATGCAACCTAAATTATTCTGTAAGGAAAAGAAAAATCAGAGTTATTGTTTGAATTTACCCTTTTCTTCAGATCAATTTAATACTGTATACATTTTTAAAAGGAGACTAGTAATTCGGTGTGACAATTTGTAATGTGCAAATCAAACTATACCAGCGTGCATGCAGTAATGGATGATGTGTATCGTGAAAATATGCTAAGGAAAGTGAAATAAGAAGATCATGAATAGAGTATTCTACTTCTACCTACTAGGATGAAGTGTGAATATGAATTACGACTATTTTCATGATCTAAAATAACGTTGAAATAAGGAATAAAATTAAACCAAGTAAACTAAAAATTAAACAGGTAACTAATTCCGCGCTTGGGAGATTATAAGTTTCTAGTTTTTGGTTTTCAAACGTAAATTTAAAAATAAAACCTGTTTGAATAAAGGAGGTTGAAATATTTTTCAAACAACAATGAAAACCATTTCAGTTCACTTCTGAAAAAATAAATGCTTTATAGTTCTAGTTTTAAGTTTTTAAAAGTGTTTTATTCTTTTTGACACTTTTTTTCTCCAAACCATGTTTTAGTCTTGTTCGTCTCTTATTCTATTTTTATTACCAATGTGTTTAGTATTTATTATAGGTGTCAAAATAAATCAAGTCCACTTGATAAAATATAGTGTTTTGAACACAAATTAAATATAAATTATTTTAACTCAACTTGATCATGTTTTGATCTTAGTTTAACATATAATCAACAGTGTAAATCGAATTTGATCATTAATTTAGAGTTTGAATTGAATATGATATTTTTATGTCTGACTTATTGTAACCAATGATTCACATTGGGCTTGCGACAAACCTAACTAATGAAATGTAGAACTTAGTTGTTTTGATTTTAAACTTTGAATGCAATTTAAATTTGAACCTATTGAATCTTATTCAATTATGGTTCAATTTAGCTGGCAAAAAGATGTAAAATCCAAACTTTTACCATGTTGGTGTTTTATTTTAACATGCATCAATTTTGTGATCGACCCGACTTAACATTTGATGAAATATAAAACTTGTATTTTAAATTTTGGCCACAAATTTAGCAGATTTTTGGCCCATTCAAACTAAGGTTAAGTCATATTTTATAAGTTTGAATTGAATTTAGGGTTTTAAAGGTCTACTTTGAACCCTTATCTTTTTGCCTTAACATAAAATTGCTTGCTAAACATATCCAATAACTACTTTTTGTAGATAATATAATTCTAGATAAAAATCAATAGAGGAAATACATTTAAAGTTAAAGATATTAAAACAAGTTTTGAAAGCTCACTGCTGTTATTTAAGTAGAAGACAAAACCCTATTTGAATAAACACTTATAAAAATTTTAAGACAATAAAAAAATTAATTTAAACAGATAATCAAATTGTATAGAATCACGAATTCCAAGAATTATCTATCCCAAATATTCTAATAACTAAGATAGCATGAATGAACTACCTGTATTATCTATCCCAAATATTCTAAATCAGTGTGTATAAATAATCACTGGTTCTGTTCATCCACTTCAACCCGTATCTGACATGAACGCATTAATAGTAATATTGAACATTCAGACGATAAATAAAACGATGCCTTCCTCCCATATTATTATTGGGAAAATTTGCATGCAATTTTCGTCAAAGAATATGCCTAAGTACAAAAAAAATCTAAAAGAAGAATTTACAATTCCTTCCTTCTATTATCTGTGGTTTTTCATAATAATTAACAAATAATAAGCTCTCCTTCGAACTGGAAACCAAGAGGTTGGCATCTTCCTTTAATTATAAAAACAAAAATGTTTTTCCCCCCTCATTATCTATTGGGTATGGTTTGCTTCAACCTTTAAAGTCAACAGAAATTTCCACATTTCTGACTTACGAAGAGCTGTCATTCTCTGGAGCAGCATCTTCCGAAGCAGCATCATGAATGGCTAAATTGGATACCTCCTCAACTACATCTGTTTCGTTTTCACCATCGGCTGGAGGGGGTGCTCCAAGGTTGTTCCTTTCTTCAGGTTTCTGCAGGCTCCAATACATGATACTTGCAGTTAAAATAAGTATCATCTTTTGGTTGACCTGTCAAAGTTAAATGCAAAACAAGGTCGAGTCAGACAAAATTTCTCAGCCAAATAAAGGACACACAAAAAAGTCTGATGGAATTGAAGTAATCATTAATATACTATATGCGCAAGATTGCATAATGGTCAGTTCTGAAACACCTTTTACCATGGAAATAAAAGAATTTGTGAAGTATGTGGGCAGGAAGCTCAATGAACAGATATATTAAGATACTAAAAGACATGCTTTTCCATATACATTATTCACAATGAAAAAATGACACAAGCTCTCCATTATATCCACCAGATCAATTGTTGAAACGTGACATTCCAATTATAAGATTTCAGATACAATGTATTTCTAATCCTATAAAAGCATATTTATTGGAGAGACGAACTGTTACCAATTAAGTTAAAATTCACCTTTTCATAGACAACTGGCATAATTACCATCAAAATTATGTTTAACACCGACGAGCTTACCTCTATTATGTCCTCCGGTAACAGGAAAATGGAACATCCAAGTTTTCGGGCAACACTGATTATATATGTTGCATTCATTTTCTTATCTTCATCTGCAATTCATATGACAGAAAAATTTAACATTTCAAATTGTTGCCCATAAGATCACATATTAACATCGTTTTAATGTCAAATATAATGTTTCATAAGAAATTAAAAAGTTGCAAGCTGAATTTAAAGCCATCCTCAATTTCTTGATAGCATGACAAAGTTGGCATACCAGTCTCCCCTTTAGTAACAAGACTCCAGTTGACCACCCTTGACTCCACAGCACTCAAAAGCTCAAGGAAGAAAACGCCACTGGAAAGATTCTTATCCTGATGAAGTAGAATACATAAATATGATGAGTTGTGATCCAAAATTAAGGGAACCATCATGTACACTGTTTCTTGATAAAAATTAAATAGTCCTTTTCTTCATTCAAAAAAGCCTTAAGAAATTATTTATAGTACTATTGATAACAGATACCTGTGATTTCTCTCCTAACATGAGCAGTACAAATGTCTAAGACTGATATTTGTTTTAGATAAATGTAAAATTTAGAGTAGAAAAAATTGTATAAGCAAAACACACACCCATCTCTCAATAGTTGGTTTTATACCTTGAAACTTTCCATTTGAGAAGTTCTTCCTGCTCTCTTCACTTTATTGTTTGCCCAGTTTAGAATATCAGCATCAGTAATCTCTTTACCTTGTGAGTGAGATCTCAAATTTCTCAGAAGTTGAAGCATAGTAAATCTCATCAGCTGCCACAAAAATGCTGGGGACAAACAAAAGAACATTTTAGAACAGATATGTTGCTTACAGAATCCATAAATCATCAAGTTGCAGGAGACAGTGCCAATGGTATGCTCTAGAACACTATAAATGCAGGGTTCAGATCTTGAAGAAAGGTCAGATTTTGTCCTCCTTTTCTAATTTGAACTTGGTAGTGTCCACCACAAAGAAGGAAATGGCGCCCTTGTTGCTGATCTCAAAGTAGAGGTTGGGTGGATAAGGATAGGTGAAATTGAGATTTAGGTTGGAATTGCATTCCATACAGCCATATACAGTGGCCATTGCTGTAGAGATTTCGGTGAGAGGACTGTTTTTTTGTACATTGACAAGTTTGTGATTTGTTCAAAGTTTGCCATGAGAAAGGGAAGAGGGTGGGATGGTCTGATGGCACAATAACTATGACGAGGCATCTTCTTTAGCCAAACCCATACAGGACAAATATAGACAATAGGCATTGGTGATGTGGTTTTCTGATAGTCACATCAATCAACATTTAACAGACTCCAATTGATGTTGAGGACCAAATGTCATCAATTTGGAACATTGGAGGACAAAAACAATATAAAAAAATTGCATTGAGACTAAACATATTTGCAAAATTGTTGGAACTAAAAACACATCTAAACCTATTTTCATTGTATCTGAGTAATTCTGTATCACATCAATATACACAGTAGAGAATATTCGGATATTCCTCATTAACAAATCACAAGAACATATCTTGGCTATTGATTATCTTTCAGTTGGCAGATTTAACTAGAGAGAGTGGAAGTATAAAATAATGCATTGACCCACCAAAATATCTAATGAATGCGGATAAAACAAAATTCATGCAGATGCTAAAAGAGAGAAGGAACCCACAACACAATCATAACAAATTCTCTAGATATAACAAATCATCACAAAGCAGGGAAAAAAAAATGAAACTCACCCAGTAAGAGCTTCTTATTCCCTTGTACAATATCATTACCAGCAACATTCACCAAGGAAAAGTTTAGGTCCTTCCCAATCTTTATAACTTGGTTGCAGTTCTCAACTTTTCGAAATGGCATCTTAATAGGAGGCTTTGTCGCCAGCTTCCAATTGACAGATCCTGGTGAAACCTTGTCAAGAACTTCTAATAGAACCCATCTGCAGAAATGGAAATAAGGAGAATCATAACCAGTAGTTAAGGTCAAGGAAAAAATTAAAAGAAAACATACGTGGAAAGCAAAAATGATAAGAAAATGGAAGACAAAGATGATGAGCCAACTGAACAGGGGAAAGCTTACCCGTTTCTGACATCCTCAAAAACATTATTGACATAAGTGGCAATTCCAAGACTGTTAATCCATAGTCTGAAGCATCGTTCTTCCCGAGATGTTTCTGCATCATCAGTCATCATCTCAGCAAAGGACATTTTCTGGGTGTCAGCTGTAAGGCCATTCCTACAAAAGTACAAGTAACAGATTATTGGATTTATATAAATGAAACTCACAATCTGAATCAGCTCAAGATCCATACCGAACTGTATAGAGTATATATTTTCAAAATAACTTTCACTAGCCCTATATATTTGTCCCTAACAAATGAATCAACTAGAGAGATCCATTATGAACCAAGTGCAGTATCAACTCCCCCATGCCGTAGTTACTTTTTTTTTTCCTTGAGGGAAGAACAATATGACTTGTTACATATTCAAAAGATATAATGAACCTGATTCTCCCATTCTTAGAAAGGCAGAAAACAGCATGGGTTCTTGGAAACATACCCCAAAATGTTCTTATTGTATGAATTTACAATGAAATCATTAGCACATTTGCAACTTCTTAAAACAAACCATACCTATGCTGGAAAATTTGAGCAACAAATGCAAGATTAAGATTAGGTGACCCCTCCACTATGTCCTTTGGAGTGAGGTATCTCTTGCAATCTAATTTCTCTGCCTGCTCAAGAACCATGCTTGCCCTTTCTGTTGGGTCACTTGTGACTAGGGCAGCTGGACCTGCCACTTCTGGGGCAAGAGCATTAAGCAAGTATGCATAAGCCTCTCCATCCTGCAAAAGAAGATATTGTAGATATGATAGACTCATGCAACTTAGAATCATATGATATCCCTTTATGAAAACATCTGCCAAGCACATAAAAAATTAACCACATTGATTCAGCAACTGGCATGATGCAGGACAATATGGTGAATCTTTTCCTTGGAAACTAGTAAATGGTTGTCAAGGTCAACAGAATATAACAAGAAGGTCCACAGTTTCTTTACTGGTTTAAAAGGCACAAAAATGAAGGCAACGGCGGGGAAAAAAGGTTTTAATATGTAATACCTTACAATATTTCATCCACGTCCAGGATTATTTCTATTACAGTAAGTCAGCACACAAAGTTAGTAAGAATTTCCCTCACCTTTAGGTCAGAAGAGAAGTTTGTAACTTGTTTCTCATATCCAGCTTTCTTCAAGTGGAAATTCATCCATTTCAGTAAAACCTTTTCAGGTGCTAAACTGATAAGCTCCTCCACATCCTGCCATCATGTTACACTATATTATAGAGGTTTATTTCAATCATATTTCTGACATATGTAAAGGAAAGAAAACATTGCACTTGTAAATAACAAATAAAAGCAACAATATTATCCAATATCACCTTGTCATCTTCCACTAATTCCACAAGTTGAGGAGTGTTCTTCAGATTGAGATCAGCTAACAATTGAATCTAATGTTGCCCCCATCATAGAAAGTCAATCAACACAAAATACAGCATAAGTTTACATGTCTTACCAATGAATAATCAAACTCATAATGGTGTCAACCTCCTCATCTGAGTTCCATATTAAGCAAGTAAAAAGGCAGCAAGTTTCAGTAGTTTACCTTGATTATTTGTGAAATCAGACCAAGCACCAGATAGGGCTAAAAATAACCGAACAGGAAAATTAAAAAAAAAAAAAAAAAAAAAAGGGTTAGGGAAAACAATTCATTTTTCTAAAAAAAAGAAAAAAAAAAAAAA